AAACCCAACAACAGGTTTATTTAAACCAACAATGGGTTCATTTAAACCCAACAACAGGTTCATTTAAACCCAATTATAGGTTCATTTGAACCCAAGATAGGTTTATTTAAATTTAAACTAGGTTATTTAAACCCAGATCTAAAACAAAACAAAAAAATTAAAAACCTTATATTCAGGACAATGCCCAAGCCCTGAAAGCTAATATAATTTAGACCTAAGAATTAAAAAAAAAGTTAGAACCTCAAATTTGAGGCAATATTCGGTTTCTGAAAGCTAATATAATTTAAACCTAAGAATTAAAAAAATTAAAACTTTATACCTAGGGCAATGCCTGGACCTAAGAGCTAGTAATAATATAGTATTACTTGTTTATTTAATAAAAAAGTATAGAGATGAAAAACATCAGGACAAACTTTTTCCTGTAGATCCCAAAACATTAAGTAAACAAATAAACTATGAAAAAACAATTCAAAAAAACCGTAAACTAGAAGGGAAAGACTCACAATATAATTAATCCCTTAGGGGATTTTGCACTCTAGGTGTAAGAAATATTAACAAGAGCTAGACACAAGCTGAGCAAGAAAAGAGACAGAAGCTCACTAGAAGCAGATAATACACAAACGACTTTGTTGCGACTCAGTCAGTGGCAAATACAAAAGGCAGTAGTAAAACAATAATACAAATAGTGACGCCCCTGTGAGGCACAATAGTATGAGAAAAGTCCCAACAAAAAAGAAGTTAAAGCAAAGACACAACCCTATGAGTACCCAGAACGACAACTCTTTCGAAGAAAAAAAAATAATAAAAGGAATTCACTCCTACAATTAATTGCCAAGAAATGACGTCATCTCAAATACAAATGGATATAGATACAAATTTGGAAGAAAATTCCCACGCCATGCAGAATATGGATTGCGATGATCAAAACACAAAAGAACCAAACCCCCAACTCTTACAAATCGAGAAGGCCCCAGGCGAGGACCCAGAAAATCAAGGGCACAGCCCCTAGTCACAAACAGAGCCACTCAAAACTAATATCAAAGCCTACTAGATATTGCATCGATGACAGATAAACAACACATGCAGCTGTTATTACAATCCAATGCAATGACAACAATCAACACTAACTCATATATAGCAACAGAGGATCAACTTGAGGATCAAAAATCAACAAACACAATATCATCTCGAGCCACCACACCTATCCCATCATATTGTGACAAATTAGTTAGAAAAAAGACAACTAAACTATTAGATGACTGTACTACGGAATGAGTGCAACACATTAGAAGGCTCAAAGCCAATCTTGTAGAAAACGAATACAATTTAGCAGAATAGCATAATGACAAAATAATCCAAGCCTTGGAATCTCTGGATATATATAAAGAATTTATCAGTCACAAATTTCAAACCAGGCCAGCAAATATTCCAATGCCAGAAGCAATAAAGCTAAAATTTCAGTTTATAGATACTGTTTTTTCCGTTCTTTTACAAGAAACAAGCAAACTATACCCTCTCACCAAGATGAATTTAACAAACTTCTGTATAGTGCTATTGACAAATATAAGCAAATTCACAATGTAACAATTATGAATAAAAAGAACAGAGATCAAATTTTTGCAATGCTAAAAGCAAGCCTGGCACTTGATGCAATGAAGAATCTAAATTTTCATCTACTTGATGATCTGGAAATCACCAAGCACATATTCTATTGTATTAGATTTGCTCAACTAAAAACAACAATAACGTTCAATAATATGCGAAGAATGATATCTGAACAACACAGTGCAATATTAATCGAGTTACCAAATTCACCAGAAGGGCTTGATCAAGAATATAAAAAAATATTACCTTTCATCTTATCTACAGATGATTGTAAGAACACTAAAGCAATTGCAATCACCATGCGTCAAATATATAAATTCAAACTACTTCCTGAAGCTTACTTTGTGGACCCAAGAGAACCACTACCAAAGAGGCCTAGTTAGCTCAATCGAGAAATTAGAAATTTTTTTCTGATAACTAGTTATCTATCATTAAAGCATCTAAGAGAGCTACGTGCAAAACTAAATAAATACTACTACTTCAATAGTCCAATTCCAGACAATTACTTCGAACTACTGGAACCCCTGCCTGCTTTGCCACTTGTACCTCAGCTAGTTGATCCCAAGATTAGACATTTATACCCATTCATACCAAAGGATGCTGAAGACTTCAAGAGATATATAAAGATTCTTAGAGAATACTACACCTTTGAATGACTTCCTAATGACTATATACTAAACAAAAGAAAGCTGCCTAAAGAACCAACTAACATCAAAACGAAAGAAAATTATTCATTTCTGATAACAGAACGAACTGTAGCAAAGATGTTTTTGGCAAAAATAAGTGACCAATACAGCATACCTAATCCTGTACCCAAGAAATATATGACAGTTAACCCAACTGATCTACCAGATCTACCTTGGGATCATCGTGATATAAAAGAAATGGAGTTATCACTTCCTATAACGAATAGCAAAGATTTGGTTAATATAGCTAGACGACTTAGAAAATTCTATTACTTCTATGAGCTTCCGGAACAATAGCTAGAACTCCCAAAAAAGCGAAAAATGGAAGAACAAAATACAGAATATAGCCATTACAAGCTTCCTAATAGCTTAGAAGAAATAGAAAAACTAATTACTAACAACAAGATTGAAACAAAGATTATGTTTCCAATAATCGATTACGAACAAGTAGTCACTGCTACACAATTCATACAAACATACTTCAAGACTAACTACTTGCCACTATATTTGACTAATCTACCTGATCTACCAGCTTCTAAATGGAACCTGTTCAGCAAAGAAATTCCAAACAACAATAGTCATGAGATGGAAAATGACCAGTAGTGATTTAAGCCGTATGATTTTGGTTGGCTAGCTTAGCTAGCCGACCAAAATATCAGCTAGATGGCTAGCTAATAGCTAAATAGTATATTTTCAAAATTATACTAATTATATTACAATATATAATAATTTATTACTAGCAATTATAATTAAACTATCCAGAATACATAGGTATTGATAAAAAAAATATAATCGGTAATCAACTATAATTTTTAAATTGCTAAATAGTTTTAATTAAAGTAATAATATATTTGATAATTTTATAAAAACACAAATATTAAAATTTATAATAAAAATCATCGCTCATACTACTGAAGATATTCTAAATATAATAATTGTTAACGATTCCCAATTAATAATTAAAATGCTATCACTAATTTACTTATAATTGAAAATTGCCAGGAAGTCTATATATAGATTATTAAACAATCAATAAATCTATATTTAAAATTCCTGGTTTTTACTTAACATTTAATTATATTGATTAAAAGCAGTATAAATTGCTCATATTAATAAAAATTAGTTGGCCAAAAATAATCTTCCATAATTCGTACAGACAAAAATCTTCAATTTTTGTAATTAGTTAATTGAATAATGAAATTAAATAGAATTTGTGCGAATAATATGTGATATATTATGATATCCAAGATTAAAAATGATTATTTTTTAGTGATTGTAAAAATCGCTTGTGAATTGCTTATGAATTACTTATGAATTACTTACTAGTCACTTATCAGTTTTTATATGCTGTTCATAGAATTTTAATAATCACAATATTATATTAAAAATTTATGCATATTTGTCATCGAATTTAACGAATTTGATTTATGCTAACATTATTGAACCAAATGAGACATATGTTTGGGTTTTGGTTATGAATCCAAATTAGGTATAAATCTCCAAACCCAAACTATATAGTAATTTTTCGCCCATTTGTGCCAAAATTGCTAACGAAATTTCATCAAAATACATTATAATAGTTATTTTGAAAAATCCAGAAAATGCCCACTGAAAATACTTTTTTTTTAGGCACATTATAAAGCTAAAGATAGTACAAACCCGTGAATGATAATAAAATAGATGAATACATCGAAAATATATACATGCTATTGTTCACGAGTTTGACTCTATTATTGGGCTAGCTTCTCTTCATTTAGCAGAATAAAACCCAAATTAGAATTATACATACAATAGTTATTCTTCTAATAAAAAGAAAGGTTATCCAAAAAAATAACAATTGTATGCATAATTCAAACATTGAAATTTTATCTCTGCATTAGAGATGCGGTAGAATCGTCTCAATGATAGTCGTCACACTGCCGTAACTTGCTATAACTATGGCAAGTAATAAAGTAAGTTATAGTTATAATGCCATAACTTACTATATTACTTGCTATAGTTATAGCAAGTTATAGCAGTGTGACAACTATCATTGGGGCGATTCTACTGCATCTCTACTCTGCATTCTATTCTTATTATTTGTATTAAAAAATACGAATTAAATGAAGATTAAAATATAAATAATTGGTAATTCACCAGTCAACCAGAGAATGTTCATAGTAAAAAATGACTCAAATTACTTATAAAAATTGGAAGTCTCCAAATGTGGCGTACGCGCATCTAAAACTTTTTTTATACTAAGTTAATCACTTTTCTAAATTAAGAGACTTTTGTAGAGCTTGTCAAGACGCATCTAATGGTAGTTAGAGCGTCAAAATCGGCTTGGTGAGTGCTGAGATATCTTTAAAAAACATTTCTTTTAATATGTAAACTTTTTTGCAAACAATAGTATTGTTTGCAAAGAAGTTTACATAGTAAAAAAAAACGTTTTTTAAAGATATCTCAGCACTCACCAAGCCGATTTTGACGCTCTAACCACCATTAGATGCGTCTTGACAAGCTCTACAAAAGTCTTTTAATTTAGAAAAGTGATTAACTTAGTATAAAAAAAAGTTTTAGATGCATGCACACCATATTTGGAGACTCTCAATTTTTATAAGTAATTTGAGTCACTTTTTACTATGAACATTCTCTGGTTGACTGGTGAATCACCAAATAAAGAACATGTCATAAAAATTAATATCTTACTGCTCAAATAAAAGTAAATAAATGTCAACACACAATTTTTATCAGTCCAGTTCTTATAGCGATACTGTAGCTTTGTCTAGTGAAGATAAATTAAACGAATTAAATGAATCAAACGAATTAAATGAATCAAATGTATCAGAAAATGTACATGACCTAGACAGCGAATCGAATTTGAGTTCTTCTGATCGAACTTCATCATGTAATAGTGGTGTTACTGTTACTAATAGTTTGAGTAAAAGAATTCGAAAAAAAAAGAGTACCTATTTCAAAAGACCAAGACCAAGAAAACCAAGTTGGGTATGGTATTATTTTAAGTGGGACAAAGTTGCAAAAAAAATATGTTGCAAAGTTGAAATCACGGATGAGGACAGTATAAAAAAAGCCTGTGGCCATGAATATAGATCAACAACTGAAATGGGCAATTTAAAGTCTCACCTTTGTCAACTTCATAGGATTTTGCCTCCTGAAGAAGATAATAACAACCAATTAACCAAAACAGTTTCTAACCAACCATCATTACATGATTTTATAAATAAAAAAACACCTTTACCTATTTCGAAGCAAGATAAAATCACAAATCGTATCTTAGCTTGGATCGTAGATAATCTTCAATCATTTAACGCTATTACTAATAACTGTTTTCGTGATATGATTCTTGAATGTGAACCGAGATTTAAGTTTCCTTGCTATGATAAAATTAAAGAAAAAATTAATGCAATCAGTACTTTTTGCCGAACGACAGCTTAAAGAATTATTGCAAACAATGATGGATTCCTTTTGCTTTACAACAGACCTGTGGTCTCAAATACACCAACCTTATATAGCCATAACAATTCATTGGATCAGCCCCGACTTTACTTTATACCAAGCACTCCTTACAATATAAAAGTTCGATTACCCTCATACTGCTGATTGGATTGAAGATTTTTGTCGCCAACTTTTTGACCAATGGGAGATATACGAAAAGTTTTTAGGTGCTTCAACGGATAATACTGCTTCGATGATTAAAGCTATGGATCAAATTGGTGTTGAGCATATAGATAAAGCTAAAGCTAAATTTGGAAATAATTTAAGATAAAAAATTTAAATATTTTAATATGAAAATTTTAAATTTTTGGCTAGTTAATTTCTATAATAAAAGCGTGTAAAAGAGTAGTTCTATATTTTTTATATAAATCATAAATACCTAATACTTTAAATTTTCAAACCTAAATATAGTAACAAGTTGTACTTTGCAAAATCAAATCAAAATTTGAATTTGAACCAAATATTTGATTCAAATTCAAATTTTGATTTGATTTTGCAAAGTACTAGTAGCAAGTTGGGATGAGTTCGACTACAAACAGCTACAATTATTTATAGCCAATTTGCTAAATACTGAGATGATTTTTTTGTTCTTGAGCTTTTAATTAAAGTCATTCAGAATTAAATTCTGTTCATTTTATCTTATAAGTGGAAAGAACGATATGATACCTCTCTGGTAACGTAGCTATGATATTAACAAATCAAAATTCCGAGTTTCAGAAAAAGTATTGCTCTTTCTACTTATAGGATGAGATAAACAGAATTTAATTCTGAACAACTTTAATTAAAAGCTCAACAAAAAACCATCCCAGTATTTAGCAAGTTGGCTATGAATAATCATAGCTGTTTGTAGTCGAACCTATCCCTAGTAGCAAGAACACCAAATCAAGTTATTATAATATAAAATAGTTAAACATTAATGCTTAAAATACAATTACATAAATTAAACAAATAATTATTTTAATTCTCACCTAGGTTGCACTGTGCATACAATACAACTCGCATTAGGGAACAGATTTGATATTGAAGAAGTTACTAATTTAATCAATAAAGCAAAAACATTAAATAGCTATGTTAATAGTAAGGATAAATACCATAAAAGACTCTGTCAGTTGCAAGCTGAATTAAATCCGCAATAACAAGTTAATTCTCTTTTAAGTGATACAAGAACTTGGTGGAGTTCAACCTACAATCTCTTAAAGAATCTTTTCCTTCTTCATAATACTATTATAAGATTAGCCAATAACTTAAAACAAAGTGTTAATCGTCAAGAACGGCAAGATGGAACAAAATTTTCTGAGTTACTTCTATCAATAAAAGAATAGAATTCAATAAATGAGTTAGCAAAACTCTTATATCCTTTTGCGCAAGCAACAGGATATATTGAAGAAAGCCAGTATCCCACGTTAGGAATAATGATTCCTACTCTTATTAAGCTCTCTCACCATTTAAGAGATTTTTACCCCAGAGTTACTTCACAAATAGTAAAAGCTTGTTATAGTAAAATCAACCAATTGATGCTTTCAAGGTGGCTTGAACTGTCATCTCATAGTTTAATAGCTGCCTTTTTAGATCTGAGATTCAAAAAAATGAATTACATAACACCTAGTAAAAAGAAAGAAACTATTGCTCACCTTTATATTTTATTCAATACACAAAAATGACCAAGTTCTATTCAAGAACCCCTACTTCTTTTTTTTCTTCTTTTTATAATGATGATTATGTTGTTTTGAATGAAACTGAAAATATATCGTCAGTTGAGAAGGAAGTAGAACTTTACGATAATTTACTTGAAATTTCTAAATATCATATAACAGATAAAGATTATTGTAAGGTTAATCCATTAATCTGGTGGAATAAACGTAAAGCAATGTTCTCTCTTCTTTCACAACAAGCAAGAAAATATTTGGCCTTTCCAGCCACATCAGTTCCCTCAGAAAGAGTTTTTTCGACTGCCAGCAATACTGTTACTAATAAGAGAAATCAATTAGACCCTGACATGGTTCATAATTTACTATTTCTTAAAGAAAACTCAAAAATCTTTACTGTATATCCAGGTTTAATTTAAATTTGGAATTCATATATACTTTACTAATAGTAAGTAATAAAACATTTGATCAACATTAAATTAAAAAAAAAAAGCCAAATTTAATTTTAGAAATTGTTACCTTCAAAGGTATTGTTCGCGTATTTGAATTATCTTAAGCAGCAATATGCAATAAATTAGGCTAAGAATATAAAAGTAAAAAAAAAACATTATACGTATACAGTAAAATATAAGGAACTTTATATATACAGTATTTTTATACGTAGTTATAGAGTAAAAGAAATTAGAGTTTGATATTATATATATTATAGAATAAAAAAATTTATTTGAAGTATATTGGAATATAAAAATCTAGCTTTCAAGCAAATGTATCTTTTTTGGCCACATAAAACCGTCTAGATGGTGTAATCCTTGTGAATTCTGTTAGATGAACTCAGCATTCTTAAAAAGTAGAAATAAATATATCAACCTATTAATTTTGCAAATGCAAAAGAATACAACATGCACTTATGATTACTTGGAGTTTATAGATTTTGGCAATATTAAGGGGTTCGAATATGTTGCTAAGGGAGCTTTGTGGTTTTTTTGGAACGTGGTAGAGATCTCAAAATTCTAGCTGCTTTATTAAATAAAGTAACTTTCAACTTGCATAGTATTATATATCGTTATTTATAGTATAGTATTTAACAATTTGATTCACTTACGATTAGGTGATCTTAGCCGCATTAGCCAGCCGACCACCTTACATAGGCTGGTTTAGCCGGTTAAGCCAGCTTAGCCACGGCTGCTTTAGCCAGCTTAAAACACTAATGACCAGTAGTCAACAGTCACTTAATAAGTACTCCAACAAGGCACACAGAAACATACATACACAACAAGACATATTTGAAAATAAAACAAAAGAACCTAAGCCTTTTCTTATAAACAACTTGTCACAACTAAATCTGTTAACCCACAACATACAAGGGCTCAACTGCGATATAAAGTTTCAAAAGGTTTTAAAATACCTGAATCAAGAACAAATACATATTGCAGCACTCACTGAAACCAAGCTAAAGTATAACAATGAGATAGCAAGAACAAACTCCTTTTATAAAATCTACAGTTCAAATTATATAGCAGATCAATCAAGCGAAAGAGAAGCAAGTCTAGGAGTAGCCATTAGTCTCTACCCCATATTCGCCAAATATATACATACTATCCAAAAGATTCAAGGTACTGCCATTTAGATTGATTTCTTTTTGCTACACAACAAGCTAAGCATAGTTGCACTATATATACCTTTGCACAAACCTGAATTAGCAGCCAAAACCCTAGAAACAATAGATTAATGGCTCGTAGCTGCACACAAAAAACATCATAAGATTATCGTATTGGGAGATTTCAATGATAATGTAGAGTGTAACAAAGGATGTAAAAAATTGTTCAATACCATGCAGCGACTAAAACTTTTTAGTCTACTTGAGCTTTATACAAATACATAATATATATAGAAATGAGGAGACAAATAAAGCCAAATTGACGACATTTGAGTATCAAATAGCATTATACTTGACTTTGATGCAATACAACTACAGTCTGCTATACATATTACTAATAGTGATCACCTCATATTAAGCACTGTCTGGCAAACAAGAATAGACAACTCAACGCGCCCTCCCAGAAACAAAAAAAAGAGTAGAAAAATTTTTGACTATAGCAAAGCCATCAAAGAGAATTGGGACCAGTTTAAAAAAGAAATTGAGACCAAAATCAGCAAAAGGCAGAACCTATTTATCGATAATATAGAAACATTAAATAGAAAATGGAATTAGTTAGCAAATACAGTAAAAGCAGCTGCTAATAACAATATTTCCTATCAATACTCTAAAAGGCACAGTTTTTATACATTTTTACTAAAAGCTACGAAAATACATACAACTCTCAAATGTGCAAAGCAATTGGCAAAAATGCTCCAGAAAAACACAGTCCAAGAAAAGAATACCTTGCTCACAATGATTAATGAAAAAATAGCCGAAATAAATAAAAACTCAGAAACAAGCCTCCAGCAAATTAATGAAATTACGCCCGAAAAACTAAATGATCTTAACAAAGAGTTAGCAACAATGATTAGTGGTCTAATTAAGGCTCAGCAAGCCGAGAACATATTGGCAAAAAGAGACAAAATTAACTATTATATACAGAAACGCTACAACAACTTTCAAGACAATACCAAGAGCATATTAAACAGTATATTAGGGCGCTATAAAGATAGAATATTATTCAAAAAAATAGTGAAAGATGATCAGGTTATTACTGAACCAAAAGACATTAAATCGGAAACAAGAAACTACTTTAAGTTATTCACTAAAGCTAATACACCGTCAAGTGACCAGGAACAACTTACCTTGTACTATATGGGTTTCATATCGTAAAACCCTTAGCAATGAATCTGAAGCTAAACTTAAAGAATTGACTATGGTATAAATACTATAAACCAAAAGAAGGTATAAGGAAAGACAACTACAAAGAGCTTACAGAACCTGTCACCATAGCTGAACTAAATAATACAATAAACAACTTACCATTAAGCAAAGCAACTGGGCCAATAGACATATCGAATGAAATGCTAAAACAACTCCCTGACAGTGCAATAGAATGGTTCAGAGACATAATCAACGCAAGTTTACAGCTAAAGAAAGTACCTGATTAATGGCTAAGCGCAAATATCTGGCCAATTCCAAAGAAAGATCACTATGATTTCAAACTCGAGAATGTGCGGCCAATTACACTAATCGAATATCCCAGAAAAATCCTAACAAGCATAATTATACAGAGGCTTAACAACATTCTTCACCGGTTCCAAATATTATACAGTAGTAACAGTGTGGCACTGCCCTTTACAACTACAACAATGGCAATACAAACAGTCAATCACGTATTGGAAGATGTGCAGATACACAGAAAAGAATACTAGATGTTATTCTAGAATATGTCGAAAGTATACGATTCAGTGCATATCCCACTACTTGTCAAAGCACTTAGATATATCAAAGTACCCGAAGCCATAGTTGAGATACTATAGTACATCTTCATGAACCGCACAAACTAGGTAATTACAGATATAGGACTAACTGAAGCATATAAAGTAGAAGATGGCATAAATCAGGGAGAGACAATATCTCCGATTCTGTAGAGAATTTTCTATGATCTTCTAATAAACAGAATAAATAAAGAGTATAAAGGGTATTCATTACAGACATGTACTCTGGATAAAAAACTATATACAAAGAATGTGTCAGTATTAGCATACATGGACGATTCAGCCTGGATAACAGATACAAAAGAGAACTTAGAGGACATTATTAAAACCGCACTTAACTTCTATGAATATACCAACATCAAAATAAACCCGATCAAATCAGTACTCGTTACAAATTCAAAAAACGAAGACAGAGGCATTAAAATAAATAACTTCGAAATACAAGCAATGGCCGCAACAAATTCTTTTAAATATTTGGGAGCATATTTCTCCATAGATTCACAAAAAAATATAGCAAAAAAGCAGATCCAAAATCTAATCTTTAACACTTTAAAGAAATGCGAAATTGCAAAGATTACAGAAAAACAAGCGGTATATATAATCAATGCTATTATAACACCCCGGTTGAGTTACCAATTCTATAGTCACTTTTGGAGTTCAAGGCAATACAGTCACATTACAAATAAATTTATCCAAGTCATACAGTACAAGGGAAGATTTTCCTGAGACATACCTGGAGCCAATTTCCTGCATCCTGAAATCTATACTTTGACATCTGTTAAAAGAATCCAAAAACAATTTATACTAACTAATCTTTTTAATACTATAAATGAGAACAACTTTGACACAAGTACTCTGAAGATTAGACTATAGCAGATTCAAAATGCCACATATACAAATGCCTCAATTATTGACCAACAACCTATATTGCCATTCAAAGAACAATGTACCCTAACAGGATTCACGATAAGTCAACTACATCTAGCACAAATACAATATCAAAGGCTGTTAAATCATTGGCCAAAACCACTACAAAACAGAGGAATGAGTATTAATATAATACTTCAAAATATAAGCAATGGCCCTCTAATAAAGAAAAGGCTGAATGAACTCAAAATAGGTTTTGTTGAACAGTTCTTAAACTTTAAGCTAGATGACTTTTTAAATTAAAAAGAATTCCATCACTATACACAGACAATACCAAAAGGCTGTGAACCCAAATGGTATAAACTAATAATATGACATATCCAGGAGACAGAAAATCCAAGTCGTGAGCTTGAAGACACGAACCCATTCACTTTCCAATTAGTGTCAGAACAAACCAGATAGGTGGTTACAAAGAATAATCTGTATGGAAAAATTACAATATACAATCACAGTGTGAACAACTTCAACTTAAGACATTATAAAATAAAACAAGAAAATCAATTAGTACTATGTACAGGATGCATATTCAAGACAGACAAGGATAGAACATGGTGTATTATTTTCAGAAAACGAGAAGACTTATACCATATAAATGTAGATGGGTTAAAGAGAAATAAGAGCTCGAATACAAGATCTAAACAACATAATACATTAAAAACAAGAGCTACAGCTATGGCCAAAAGCAATATCAAGACCAATAATTTCATTAGATGCTCTTTTTACTAACACAAGTATACAAATAACTAAAAAGTTATATAAATTATATAACAAAAAATGGGAGATTACTGAGGTTATTCAAATCTTAAAGTCAAACAAGAATCCAAAACATGATGCAATTATATAGCATGCAATATCAAACAATTCCTGGTCAGTTAAAGCAGAAGTTTGACCCTCTAATATCTATACAATATTAATAGCTATTGCAGCAATAATAACATGTACAAGAGAACAATCAAAAATCACAATACACACAGACAATATAATAGTCAAAATGCTAATTGAGGAGCACTTGGCGACACCTTTTTACTACTAGCAAAGACAAAAAAATACAGATTTTAATGCTTTAGCAAAAATGATAGTAACTATTATTAACATAAAAAGCATTGTACTGGTAATCAATAGTGTGAAAGAGAAGCCAACAAAATTACCACCTACAATCGTTTGGCAAACAAGTACAAAGCCACAGTAAATATTAACCAATCAGCATATACCCAGCTTTTGCATAATACCAACAGTTCGATCACTAAAATAGCTAATAAAAGATACAAATAATATCATTGCAAGATATAACTAGATAAATCAAAGACGATTTAGAATCTTAAACACAAACACAGTTGACATAAACTGGGAGTTAACATTTAAATATATAACATAAAACAATCTACCTAAAAGTAAATCAACCAACTCTGAAATATCGACAATACAAAACTTTAAAATTAAAGTTATTAACAATGATTTACCTATTCATATTTGACTTTTTAGATGTAACCCGAAACAATACTTGAATCCATACTGTGTCAAGTGCCCTAATATAATTGAAGATGTTACACATCTCATAACTTGTCCCAACCTACAAACGAGTCTAAAAGATATAATAGTAAATGAAAGTAGAAGAGTTCTAAATGAGCAAGAGATGCAAGTAAGAGACCTACAACTCTTTTATTCAA